GAGCCGCCAAGGGACGAAAGCCGCCAAGGGATGAAAGCCGCCAAGGGGAAGACCAAGACTTGGATGCGTAGTAAGGTAGGGGGGGGGGGGGGGGGGGGTTGGAGAAGACAGCGCGGCCGGGGAGTTCTAGCCCAGGCCCGAAGCAGAAGACGGCCCCGGGCTCGCTCGCCACGAGAGAGAGAGAGACACGGGCAGAAGACCGTCTCGCCAAAAAACGCTCCGGAATACGGCCGGCCGCGCATTCTTTCGCTGATTCTCGCGGCGGCGGCCAAGCACACCAAGCCCCCGGGTGTCGACTACCTACCTACCTGAATTCGTGCGGGCGGACGAAAGGGGAAAGGCGCGGGGGGGAGGGAAGGGAGGCGATGAGCTTGGCATCGTGTCTCTGTCCAAGAGCGCGCGATGCGGTTCCGCCAAGCCTCAAACTGCCCAATGACGAGGAGGGGAGGGGGGGCTGGAGGAGAGGCCTCGTTTGGTAGACCGCTAGAAGCCCGTTGGAATGTCACCAGAAAACTGTCGTCGAGCAGGGTCAGCTCATACATACCTAGTACGTTCCCCCCTTAGCGCGCGCCCGGTAGTTTGGCTGAGCTGACCTCCTAGTGTCCGCGTTTGGGAATGCAGCGAAGGCTGGGGCGCGATTCGATGTTGGCGTGACGGGACAGAACGGGGACAGAACCGGGGTCGTCGAGAGAGAGAGAGAGAGGAAAGTTGGCAATGCAGACGGTTCCAAACAAGCTTGTTTGGTAGACTGCGACAATGACGGCGGGCATTGCATTGGCAGGTTCGTCAACGGTCCCATTGGCCAAGGCCGCCGCCGACTGAGCCCCCATGTGCCTGTTGATCATAACTTGGTCCCAACGGACTGGGAGGAGGGCCGTCAGATGGAGTCGAGTGACCCGGCCGAACCCTCAATGGGAGTCTTGACTGACTGACCCCCTGCAGATTGCTATGCAATGTAGTTCAAGTCGGGCCCTCCCCCAAGCACCTCCACAGATGGATACCACGTTCCGCCCCAGTCTCAACTATACCCCATGGGCAGACAGGCTGGGGCAGCGGAGATGCTCCGGTTGCGGGGGCGCTCAGGCGAGCATGCTGGGTGCCACTCGTCCTCTGCCCTCCCCGCGCATGCTCGACACATGGAGCCATTGCGGATACGAGAGCAGAGTCTCTCTCGTGCATGCTGCGCTCCAGAGGAGAGAAGGGAGACCCCACGGCACCCATACGTTCCCCAGACGTGTCTAGAACCGTCCACATCGCGCTCCACTTGGGGGAAAGAAATATTGAGGTTTTTCGCCAGCCGCCGCCGTATACAAGGTCGGCCGTAGGCTCAATGCGGCAAGTTGTCCGCCCTGCATTGACGGGAACCGGATGGGAGACTGGGAGCACGGTGTGTGTACGGATCGCCAGTCGCGGTTTGGCGTTACAGACCCGATCCACTCGATCGGGCCGTTGCTGGACGCCAGAGCCGGCCCAGGCCTCACGGCTGGGCTTGGCTTCGGCTGCGTCTGACTCGAAGGGTGGCGTTCGTTCTCGCAGACGGTCGGTGAGTGGGTGGGTGGGTGCAAACTTTCTTCTGTTGAGCGTGGTGCCCGGAATCACATCATCGTTTTTGCATGCCGCAGGCTTGGACACGTCTACCGTGTTCTCCTCAAGCCATACGGTACTATGGAATGAATGACACCTGCACATATATCGGGTAGACACGCCTTCTAGGTAAGCTCCGGCTGATGGCCGCTGTGCCAGGGAGAGTTCCAGCTAGAACATACTGAGGTACACCCCATAGTACCGTAAGTCGATGACAAAGGGTCTGGGGTGAATTCAGGGCCGGATGAACGTTTAGAGTCGCGCGAGATGACCGCTTACAGCTACCTAAACGCGACTCTGTCCGTCATGCAGTAACGAAGCACGTGGCTCCCCGTGGGGGTGTTGTGGGTTACCCTTGTTTGCATCAATGCCAAAGGTCGCGCCGGATGCTCAGAGCACGCGGGTCGTTGGGGGCGACAGTGATGTCCGGGGTTTGTCCCAGCAACATGTCAGTCTGTCCTTGCCATTTATTTAATTACAACCCGTCAGCTGGGCCCAATGCTCCCTGGAACGGAAGCGTGTCTCACTTTGATCAGCTCTCAGGCATGCCGTGCGTATCCGGGGCTTCGATTGACTGCGAATCCGAGTAGAAGGACTCGACAGCAGCCGGCACTTGCTCGTCCTCCGCAAATCCGGATATTGGCGCAGATGCTTCCCTGCGCGGGAAAAGAGGAACATTGAGCGAGCCCAGACGGCGACGGATCGACGCGGCACCGCATGGCGGCCCGCGTTGCGTTGGCGTACAATACTCACTCGCAGCCGAAGGCCACTGTACCGTAACTTTGTCTCGGGAGAAGAATGATTTCGCCGCAGGACGCTGGTATTCTCTAATCCAGCCGAAAATAGTCGCCGATTTTGTCAATAAAGGCCTGGAGACCCGCGCATGGAGGTTGAGATATGGTGCTGCAACCCAAATCACACCACGTCCGGGCTACCCCTTGGCACATCATACTGGTTCGTGTAGATATCCGCATTTGTCGTGCCCCCAAGAAAATGGAAGCGAACGTGTGAGGGCATTTGCGTACTTCGTACCCTAGTCGACTTGACTTATCCAGCGCCCCTGCAGCGCTCTCCTGGCAGTCAGTGCTCCACGTCAACATGATTGGATCGAGGGAATCACTCCAAGTCGTGCCCATTCCTCGCTTGGGATAATAGTCGCCGAATGAAATGGTGAGCGCGCCATTCTTGCGTCGAGAGAGCAGTGCAGCCAGAGTGTTGCGATTAAAACACTCAAGTAAAGACCGTCGTGAGTCGGGAGCGGGCAACACGCTGCAAGCTTCTTCCATCCCAGCTCACACCGCCCGCGTCGTCGCACAACTGCTGCCTTGTCAGATCCATGACTGGACCCAAGCTCGCGCGATGGCTGCTTCACGGAGGAACAGCGATTGCGACGAGCTGGAAACCCTGAGCTCGATAGTCCCCTTGCCGCAGCGGCGTAAGGCGTTTTTTTCCCTGACTTGAACAGCGTACGTTGTTTCAGAGGCTCAGCACATTGCGACAGCTCACAGGTGCCTGGGCGGAGTTTCTGGCGGAGTTCCTGGCGGCGTTGCGTTGACGAAAGCTCTCGTTCATGTCGACGTTTAGCCCAACGCTTGCAGTGCTGCTAGCATCCAGCGGAACTAGGTGGACGTCACGGCAAAGCCGACAGGTTATCTCTAACGCTTTCCGCCCTTTTTTTTTTTTGGAAGCTTTGGAAGAGCAAGCGGAGCGACTCGTACTCCGACTGGATGGTAGACTCGGAGCTGACACCCAGATAGGTAGATTACACGGATCGAGCGAGTATGCGAGCACAGCTGCAGCTTACGTGCGCCCCATGGCTTTTCCCGTGGTGATAGTGCTAACTCCGGCATGCTTTCCGTTGCGTCCACCGGACAGCCACGGCTTACCTCCGATATCAGTGGAGATTTCCAGTCGCGACGCGGCCGCATCCTTCGCACCGCCCGCGCGGCCTGCGCCGCCTGGTTCGAAGAAGACGATGCCCCCGTGGAATAAAAGGCTGCCTCGTTGCCGACAACAATGCTGGCTATCCCTTGTTGTTTCTCTCGGCTTATCCCTTGGATTGCGCATCTTCTAGCACTGCACCCTGCCAAAACTCCGATCTGAAAACGAACGACCTCAGTATACAAACCCCCCGGGAAAACATCTCGAATCATGCATCTCATCCTCACCGGCGCGACTGGCCTGGTCGGCTCGGGCGCCCTCGACGCCATGATCAAGATGAAGGACGTTACAAAAATCTCCGTCCTCAGCAGGAGGCCGGTCCCCCTGGCCGAGGACGCCAAGGACCCCCGCGTCAACGTCATCATCCACAAGGATTTCGAAAAGTACGACGCCGAGCTGCTGGAGAAGCTCAAGGGCGCAAACGGCGCCGTGTGGGCCCTGGGCATCAGCCAGAACAAGGTCAGCAAAGAGTAAGCGCAGCATGATTCACATGCACATACCCCCTCTCCCCTGGCTGCATATGTGCACCCCCGCTCACCCACGGCAAACAAACAGGGACTACGTCAAAATCACCAAAGACTACGCCCTCGCGGCGGCAAAGGCCTTCGCCGACCTCGCGCCGGGGGACGAGCCCTTCCGCTTCGTCTACGTCTCGGGCGAGGGCGCGACGCAGAAGCCGGGCCGCTTCAGCGCCATCTTCGCCCGCGTCAAGGGCGAGACGGAGACGCTCCTCTCCGGGATGCGCGCCGAGAACCCGCGCCTGCGGGCCGAGTCGGTCCGCCCGGGCTTCATCGACAACGCGGCCCACGACGCCATCAAGCCGTACGTGCCGGACCCGGGCTTCGTCTACAACGCCATGGGCGTGGTGCTGGCCCCCGCGATCCGGGCGTTCGGTCAGGGGTTCGTCAGCCCGACCGAGACGCTGGGGAGGTTCATGGCGGAGATGGCGATGGGAAAGGTCGACGCCGGGTTGGCGGCCGGCGGGAAGGGCATCGTCACGCTGGATGGCGGGCTGAGGGTCGTGAACAATGCTGCGTTTCGGAGGTTGGCCGGCTTGGCGTGATGTACGAGAAACGAGACACGAGACATGAGACACTCGGGAGGGAGACGGCATGAAGCACGATGCGAGCGGCCTGTGTACAAATATGTATATCATTGCAGCGGGTTTTAATCATAATTCCATTTGTCCCGAGTTGAGGCAGCAGGATGTGCATAGTAGAAGAGCGAAAGTCGCTTTATTAAAGAGGAATGCCCTAGAACAGTAACAGCTGCTAAAGATAGAGTTTCTCTATTCAATGTCATTATCTCATCTCACAGGCCGTTATCATCACACAAAGCGCTCAGCAGAGCCACGTTGGTGGATGAGGGCAGTGAGGTGCATGGGACATGAGTCAGGGGTTGCAGCCCTATATATAACCAAATATGCGTTCCAATCGCCACCAATCACCACTCATTCGGTTCCACAGGAACTGACCGGCTCAATGGTCTAGAGGTATGATTCGCCCTTCGGGTTCCACAACCCTTAAGCACAGCTTGATTGGGCGAGGCCCCGGGTTCGAATCCCGGTTGAGCCCTCAACTTTTGTGTCGTTTTACTCGGCTCTAGGAGTGATTATTAACATACCGCGCTGTTACTTAGAACCAGAAGCTGGCATGCATGTATGTGTATCTCTTCTGTTTTAGGTAACTTGAGTTTGGCTATAACTCGTCTGCCCTAATCTGTAACATGAAGCAGCTGGCGGCTGACGGCGACGAGTGATCTGATTCCAACCAATGACATTGATATCTATGCATTTCTATTAGTTAATGTCTTAGCGGCTTAGATTCGCACAATATTCACAAAAAAGGTCTTAGTGCGGAAAACGTCACGACGCGGAGTTGTCTTCCATCGTCCCACGGAGCAGACAGCGTGCATCCATGGCCAATGACTCAACCGGACTCTGCAGTTTGGCCACCTGCTATGCGTTAGCCGGTGTCTGGAGGATGTCGGGGTAGGCATTATTGGTGCTCGTCAGGAAGACCTTGCGCAGAGTGGCCACGTAAAAATAACGCCGTTATTAGTTCTTTACAGGGCAGTAACCAAAGCCTTATTGTATCCTAAATGGCTATGAGTTACAAGCATCCGTCAACGACGCTCTTGAAAATTCAAGTGCGGGAGATATTTAGCTAATCTAGGCCAATGACACATGTATGATTCTATCGCTTGAGTGACAGCTGTTTTCTTACCTATGTGCCATTAGAATATAAATTCCAGAAGTCAAATGGATGCTAGATGCGACTAAACTTAGTGATAACTACAGACGTGTCGTGCACTCATTGAGTATAGTCGCACTATCTATCTTCTTCGAAGCAGTCAGCGACAGGAACATCAGACAGGGGAAGTTTTAGGAAGAAAAGCAGGCGCAGTCACCTGTGGGTCGGTCTTCGGGAACCCCGTCTAGGGATCTCTTGAGACAAAACTGGGGTGAGGAGCAAACTCTAAAAGCAACAGAAAATAGTCCACGTTATTAGTCTACCGTAAAGGGGCTGTTAATCAACATCAGACTGCTACAGTATATCATAGTATAACCCATAATTACATCAGATACCCTGGTGTGTAGGTATGCTTAAAAATATATATAGTTTCCTTTAAATCCTATCATGTATATAAAGGAGCCACACCTCTCCCTAGGAGCTACTTGACTCTGCTTTTTCAATCTAAGCATCAGACTCACTGTTATAGCTGTGATTTGCCCCTCACTCTACCTTTTCTTTAACTTCCAACGCATAGGCTACACACAGCCTTGAGACATTAACAACCTCAAGATAAACGCATAACTGCATAGCAGCCATGAAAGTTAGCATCATCTCGCTAGCCATCGCCCTGACCAGCGCGCTGGTCGCTGCAGTCCCTCAGGCGGAAGGATTCATCTCGGATACGGAACTCGCCCGACGTCAATTCGCTCAGCCGCCTGGGTTCGATACCGACGTTCCTTGCAGAAAGAAATGCGTCGGTAAATGCAGGACCTTACAACAAGTACGTAGAAGCGTCACTACCAGTCATGTTTGTCAACTTGGGGACGTTTGCCTAACGTGCGTTCGTGTCAGGTCCTCACGGCGAAATGCGATGGCGATCAAGTTACATGCACATGCCAACCCTCGCCCCCGTAGAGCCGGCGTTGAGCTAACGTCAGTATGTGTGGTGGGAGCGTACCAAATGTACGTAGAAGCGGTTTTGCCAATCATACCTATCAACCAACTTAAAGACATATGCCTAACATGCTTAATAGGTCTCAAAAGCACAATGCGAGGCCAGTGGTAAACTTCAAATTAGGGTTAAGAATAACCGGCCCATGGGGTTCCACAGTTATCCATTTGAACGGTTTGGGTATTTGGGGATAACCATGAAATGGGGATTATGGGGTTTGGGTATTATGGGTAAATTTTTTTTTAGGTATAGGTATAAAAAATCCCTATACCTATTTGATAAGATATTTTGAGGTATTATAAAAAACCACCTTCTTATAAACCTAAACGCCAACATTTTCATCGATATCCATAAGTGGAAGGTTAGCACCGTTCCGCTAGTTAGTACGGTCCTTCTTGCGCTTCCGGACTGCCATGTTGAGAACCTCAACATTAGCACCCTTTCGGGCTTCGACGAAGGCTAGGAAATATGGTTAATACAAATGGTTAATACATTTAGAAAATGATTACTTACCACGGGCATGCTCGCCCCGCTAAGCCGAGCCAAAAGAACAAGGTGGCGGGGTCCCACTTGATGATGTCGCCTCCCAGAAATTCGGCAGACGGTCTGCGTGTCTTCCCTGTCCGCCCGGTCAAATGTCGACGAACCGAATCATTGCTGAGCAAACACCCCGAAGTTTGAGGAGGTCGCCGAGCATCTCTCGGGGTTTCGTGAGCGGCCCATCTCAGAAAGCCCGCGTAGCAGGCAGCCTTGAAGACGTCTTCCTCGGGTCCAATGATGTAGTAGCTCAAAACTGCTTCCATGGCCCTTCGCCTATACATTATCACCTGATTATTGCAGGACTAAAACGCATGCATAGCGTACGTAGCCGACGGTATGGTCTGGGATTGCGCCTATGGCCGATACCTCTTCAGCCCATTTGGTGAGGTAGTTGACGGGTCTTAGAAGGTGCGTATTGATAACAGTCGCGGTGTCAAACTCCGAGACCACCTCATGAACGGGGTCCTGGGGCTTACGGTTAACACGGTCCAATCCGGGTTGGAGCGTGGGTTCAGATTGCCTTGCCTGATTGCCGATCGGAACCACTCAAGGACGAATAGTCCGCACTCCCACCCTCTAGGCTGTTGAGGTCCATCGATCACGCAAGCACTGACGTTGATGAGCTTATCGATCGAGAGAGGCGGTCCTAAGGTTTCGTAGAAAGCTTTGAGAGCCTTGATGTCGTTCAAAAAGAGACACTCCGATTGGCTGTGGCGCCACATTGGATCGTACTAATACACCATCCCGTCCCGTTGATCGAAAATTATTCCCATGAAGTGGCCGGGATTTTCCTTACAAAGCGGAAAGACCACCAGGCTCGAGCGGTGCGTGATGGCATGTCGGACATGCGCTGGTTGTGGAAGTATGGTTGGAGTCCAGTTCGGATCAGCGGAGGAGATCCATCCATGGGTCACGACCGAGACGTGCCGAACAGGAGTAAGGTCTCGAGTCATTATTCGAAGGGACGCTCCTATCTCGTCGTTTAACTTTGCGTAAGGTAGAAGGTAATATCACCAGACGCTTGCGCTCTTATCTATGAGCTTATCGGCTGAAAGCAACGAGAAACCCTTGAAGGGTGCGATCCGTTGTTGCGACAATGGATCGTCAGGTGACGAACTGCTTGGGCGCCTGATCTGATCAAAATCGGGAAAGTAGCTCGGATGAAGCTGGTCGGGGTGCCGTAGGAGTTTACGGACATTCTCTCGTCTTTCCTTCTGGGTACCCATACCCATTGGCGCCATTGTGTCTGCTATTGACTCTATCAGGCCTGAGTACCGTTCTCGAGTCAAACGGAGACCATACACTCATCAAGGGAAATCCGTACCGCACTTGGAACGGCGTGGCGTGCGCAGCGGACAAATTCGACTGCCAGATGTGCAAGGACGGAGGTGTATACCTTCGCAAAGGTCTGTCCAAAAGGAAGGGTAGGGAGACGTATCTCTCCCAGCTTTTTGCAACACTGCTTATAGCAGTCCTCAAAGCGGTACCCATGGGCATCAAACTCATGTCCGAAGTCGAGGAGTTTAGAAGGTCGATAGAACATCAAGGTCTAGTTTCTCTCTGACCCTAAACGGGATTTCGTCATATGGGACTGGCGCCGTTGCTGCTGTCATCCATGTCCCGACGTGCTGAAGGAAAAGCTTCCCCATTCCGTCCTCCATTGACATGATGTCAATCGGCCTTGTAACTGGGCAGAAGGGTCCGAGGCACCCTAAGCCAGCAGCTACTGCTGCATGTAACGTGACTCCAACCCAGTACAGGCAGATGAAGGCCTACCGAAGCGCCGGAGGTGACCCATTGCAGACTCCTGGCATTGGCAAAACCGTCTTTGCAGAGGTAGCTTTCTGCTCCTTCTCTACGGCCTGGCAGGTGGGTGTAATAAAGAAGTGCGAAGCTTCGGAACTTCGCCTTGTTAGAGGTTGTCGCTCGGCTGCAACTTCGACGTCCAGGTTACTCTCGGCCATTATTATCTTGCAGACTGGCTCTGCGAGGGGCTAGGTTCGGCGGCGAATGGGCTCGAGGCCAAACACCCCATCGTCCCGCGTCTTGTGAAGCTGAGTGCTGAGAGTAATCATGTTGGCCGCAGAGTCGAGGAGATCGAAGTCGCCAGGTTCAGTCGTGGCTCTGTCGGTCTGATGATCCGGGATTCTCATCAGGCGGTTGGGGAGGTCTGTACTTCTTCCATAACGCGGGAGCCACTCACGTCGATCGGGTGGCGTTCGCCATGAACACCACAGTCGTGTCCCCGAAAGGCGTTATAACCCTACCCTGAAGGCCAGAGTGTCAAGATGTGACGCAATCTGGACAAGTGGGTAGTGAGACCCCGATCCTTGTAGGCTTGGCCGCAACTTGCGATTTCATCGCCCAGGACTTCCAACTCAGCCTGATTGCTTCCGCACTCGGAGCGTACACCAGGGAGAAGTCCAACGGCATTTTGTTGTATCGCCGCGCGCTGCGAAAGTGTCCAGAATGGGACTATGTGGCACACCTCTCTGATCGTTGAGCTGCTTCCTGGAGAGCTTCTATAGCCGAATCTTGGAACCGGACTCTATCCAGAAGAGGTGCAGCAATTTCTCCAGACCATATCTCGCAGAAAGCCGCGCGGGTAGCAGAGGTTCCAACATCGCCATCATGAATACCGCGCAAGTAAAGCGGCAATCGGGGACTTTGTACCAGTGATTCCTGCGGTATTCCTCGAAGGCTGGGCCCAGTGGTCTCAATCATGAGGATCAAACAGGCGTGTGGAATGTACCCTGACGTAGTGGGCATCCTTATCTTGGTGTTTGTTGGGGAGCTTGATTTTTGCCATGTACTCTTCAGGTAGGTCGACCTCAAGAGAAAACCAGCT